GACTGCATATTATTTTGTTTGATAATTTGGGCTGATTGAAACTATTAATGACCCAGCCTCTGATGGCACCTTACAAGCTACATGTAAGCATTGCAATGAGAACGCTGTGTCCTAGGGAAAGGTTTTCATATTTCCAGTTTTGTGGGAGTTTGCCAGCTCAGTGCCAGGAAACCTGAGGTAACTGGCATTGCCTTTCCAATTGGTTCCTGTAATAGTTTAGCTCCCTGTTGCCCGAGGCAGCTGCCTGGCTGGCTACCCCTCATAATCAGACTGCCTGCTTCAGTGGTGTTGAGGGATGTAGTTAGGCCTAGGTCAAGCTAGGCTGCTGATCCCCTCTCAGTGTTTTCTGTTTCCTTGTGGTTGCCTGACATGTTTTTAGAGGCAGATTAAACTATTTTCATTGCACAATCAGATAGAAGCCAAATGTCTGCATCCTGGCAGGAGTCATACCGGAATGCAGATTTGAAGCTCAATGGTAAATGACCGGATTTTGAGCTGAATCAGAAAGCAGATTTGAGTGAAGCCAGGACAGAAAACATACCCCTGAGAGCAGAGTCTTGCCCAGAAGGGAGAGTTTTGATGGTTGACAAGATTGATCACGGCAACAGTGTTGCTAAGAGCCAGGCCTGGTGCTGATCATGGTGAGCAGGAAGTGGAGAGAAGGACAGAGTGTTCTCTCAGCCCAGAAGTTTGAGCACTTCTGCTGGGCGTTTCCACAAGTGTCATATAAAATTGATGTCACCTTCCAGAGGCAAAGGGTACAGGTGGGGATGACCCAGGTGGCCTTTCAGTGGTCACCAGCTGGGCAGTCATCTCTCAACTGGCCATCCATTCATTGCCTTTACCCACAAGACATTGAGGGCTGGGGCATTCATAGTTTTCAATCAAGCCCCTGGCACACAGAATAAAGTGCCACAGGGCTGTGTGGGGGCATTCGAGTCATCTTTCCAGAGGAATTGACATGTTTGTTGACTAAGGCAAGACCTGGTCTTTTGTTGTTTTTGTTAATCCTCATGGAAGGATATTTTTTCCATTAATTAATTAATTAATTATTATTATTATTATTTTTTAGAAGAAGAGAGAGAGGCAGGGACAGAGGAAAAGTGATGTGAGAGAACACATCCGTTGGTTGCCTCCTGCATGCACCCCGACCGTGCCTGGGCAGGGATGGATCTTGCAACCCAGGTGCTGACTGGGAATCAAACCAGCAGCCCTTAGGTATGCAGGGCTGATGTTCTAATCACTGAGTCACACCAGCCAGAGCAAGACTTTGTCTTTATTGATAGATAGGGAAACTCAAATGCCCTTGATCCCCTGAGCACATCCCTCCTGGGGATCATTCCTGGCTCAGATGTCCCAACTTACTCCTTACACTAGTACGATATTTTCAAAAAACGAAACAAAACAAAAACTTATTAATGCAACTCGAACTTTGGAAGTCAGGTATTGAAGAGAATTTGCATCAGAAAATTGTCCACTTGTCCCAGGACAGGGAAAACAATGAGTGTGCAGTCTCTAGTGTTGTTTCCTCAGGGGTCCAGTGAGCAGAGTGCTGGTCCAGCCTGAGCAGTCCTCAGCCAGGGGGTGAGAGCAGGGCAGGTGAAGAGACTACGGGGCCAGGAAAAAAAAGTCTGGGTTGCAGTCCAAGCTCTGTCACAAATTATTTTATTGTCTTTGCCTTTGGGTCAGTTCCCCGGGGCTGCTGTGACAAAGCACCAGGCTGGGCGGTTTATGCAATAGATGTTTATTGTCTGACAGTTCTGGAGGCTGGAAGTCCCAGGTCAAGGTGTTGGCAGGGTTGGTTTCTTCTGAGGCTGTGAGGGAGCATCTGTTCCTGTCCCCTCTCTCTGGTGGTTTACAGGCAATCTTCGGTGTTCCTTGGCTTGGAAACGCCTCACGTTGATCTCTGCCTTCATCTTCACAAAGCGTTCTCCCTTTCTGGGTGTCTGTGTCCAGATTTCCCCATTTTAAAAGAACACCAGTCATATTGGCATAGGTCTTCCTCTTGGGCTCATTTTACCTTGATCATCCGCAGAAACCCTATTTCCAAATAAGGTCAGTGGGTAAGACTTCAACATCTTTCGGGGAGACACAAACCATAACAGGATTTCTCGGTAAAATTAGAGGGTTTGACTAGACTTGTTATTCACAGATGCCTCAGAATCATCTTGGAAGACACTCTGGAAATACATATCTTGTCCCCCAAAACAAAGGTTCTGATTTATTAAGTTTGAGGCACCCCAAGCATGTGTATTTTGGACATTGTCCTAAGATGACTCTCATGTGTTTGTGGATGCTCTGGACTGGCCACGGGAACCCCTTCCATTAGTGGAGCCTGTGGTTGTCTGGTAATGTGCAGCTGCGTGTGCTTCTCCTGAGAGTGGATGGTGACACTTCCAGGGATCAGAGCCCATTCGGAGGGCTGGCCTGGGGCCCACCAAGCATTACTTGAAAATGGCTGGGGGCCAAAATGATGTTATTCTTGCCCCTTGCCCAGATGTTAATTTATTCTACCCCCCCAAAAAACCCTCACTCAAGGATATGTTTTTACTGATTTTAGAGGAGGGGGGTGGAGAGAGAGAGAGAGAGAGAGAGAGAGAGAGAGAAACATTGATGTGAGAGAGAAACATCAATTGGTTGCCTTTCCCACATGCCCTGAGTGGGGATCAAATCTGAAACCTGGGTATGTGCCCTGATTGGGAATTGATCCCACAAACTTTTGGTGTGGGGGACAACACTCCAACCAAATGAGCCCCTCGGCCAGGGCTAATTTATTTCACTTGAGCCAATAGGACTTCAAAAGCCAAAGGCTTTGTCCCTGTGCTTAGATTTGTGATCTACATTGAGACAGATAATGAGCAAGGCAGTTAATAAGAGAATTGCTTTAATTAGTACCATCCACAGGTCGAGGCAAAAGGGTCTCCTGCCCCCTCCTCACTGGACAGGGCTGTGGGCTGTGCAGTTTCTTCTGGGCCCTTTCCCAGTACTCAGGATCCTGGATTTCCCTGCCCTCATGACTTGGAGCTGATCCCAAGGCCTGCAAGGGTCTCTTCGCCAAGTGTGTTTTCTCAAAGGCCATCCGTGCTGCTGGTAGGCTTGCCTCTAACCTCAGAGAGTGGCCAAGTGGCAGGTGTTTATGGGAATGGAGGTATGTGTGGAATGTAATGTGTGGACTGGAGTGTCCATGTCCACACAGGATTTGGGTGGAAGGCAAGGGGATGTGGCTTGCAGGCCCAGCTGGCTCCCCATGACACCAGGTCCTGGTGCTTCCCAGGTCAGTAATGAAACTGTGTTTGTGAAGGTAGAAGGATAGAGCAAGATTCATGAAACAGCTTGCTAGCTTGACTTGCAATGAGGTGTTTAGGACTGTCATTAGACGGCCTCAGTTTGTACTGGGCCTCAGTTTCGGGCCCTCTAATGCAGGCTGACTTGAATGAAGATATGATTAAAGGGCTGCAGGTGGGAGAGGGGACGTTTATTACTTTATGTTCCCTATCAAATCAGTTTAGCAGAGTGACAATTTGGAGGTGCTATATTTGGTGCATTGACCAGCTGTGGCAGATTAAATTCCAAGTTTTGTTCCTGGGAGACTGGAATTAGATATCTCTCTCAGTGAACAACTGGTCTGTTTTGTGTGTGTGTGTGTGTGTGTGTGTGTGTGTGTTGATAAGGATGGCAAGATCATCTTATTTATCACTTTTAGAATTAAGGATTGTATAGAACCTACTGTATGGAGAAGACTAGACATGAGGGGGAGAGTTCGTCGCTAAGGCTGACCATTCCCATGAAGAGCTCTCTTTTTGTGCACTGCCCATCGGTTTTGGAGTGCCTAAAAACCCATTGTGAGCAACACTGAGTGCAGGATAGCACCTTTCCCCATGCATCTTGGGAAGAGTGGAAGAGTAATTTGATACCAAGGAATTCTGATTTTTTTTTAAGCCCTGGAAGTCGAAATCCGAGGGCCATTAACCAACACAGAAGGTTGCAACAAATATGACTTCTTCAGTTATCTTTCAGAACCTAACTATGACTTGCTTCACTGAAGTAGAACCAAGAATCATAATGAAGAACTGGAGAAGGGATGACCTGCCCCCTGTGCCCTGGCAGTGACAGCATCTCATTTCCCCTCACTGTTGATGTTTAAGGTCCGCGTGGACGTACTTACAGCATCGTTCACCCAGGAAGCCAGGTGGACAGGGAGTCCTGTGTGGAGAAGCAAGAGACATGAAAAAGCAAGGCGGCCTGAGATGTCCCATGGTGCTTTTTTGACATTTTGATAGCAAAGTGAAACTTGTCTCAAATGAAAAGAATAAAAGAAGGAACTAGATAAACACCGGCAGGAAATGGTTGTTGCCGGTGTACTCAGGAAGGCCTGGATCCAGGGAGGTAGGCCCAGCTTATGATACACCCCTGTGTTTCTCTTGCTGGCTCTCCTCGGGGAAGTGCCTTCTTCCATCAGATCCAGCCAAGGAAACAAACTGCTTAATATTTAAAGCAGGGAATTTAATGCAAGACATCCTGACATTGCTGAGATGCCAAATGAGATATTGAGGCCCCCCAGAGGCTGGCAGCTGAGAGAAACCACTTCCAAAGCGGGGAAGGTGATCTTACTAGGCCCAGCGACTGAGATGGCTCTGAAAGCTGGAACGAAGATCCTGCAGGCGTCGGCAGAGGGGTCCGGAGAGAGCTACCCTGATTACACCCAGGCTCACTCTCCCCCAGTTTCCTACCCAGGGACCCCCATTGGCTGAACCGGGCCAGAAACCAGCCGAGGGGAATGGAGCCTGCAGGGGGCCTCCTTGTGATGGTACCTGGCAGGAGAAGGGTGAGGAATGGGTCTGCGAGCACACAGGCCTGCAGCCTGCCCCAGAAGTGGTTTTACTCTGCTAGCTCTGGATGAGCACCTAGCACACTGCTTTTACTGAAGCTGCCATCATGGCCCAGCTCTCCTGATAGTAGTGGATTTAGTCCTCAGTGCCCTGACGCTGGAGTTGCATTGGAGTTGGAGGGCCCTCCCTCCAGCTGTTTGCGAGTCAGAGGAACAAGTGTTTATGTGCACAGATGGTTTCAGTGCGCTCTACCCAGGTCTTGAAAGATTCTCCTAATTACAGAGCAGCTGAGAAGGCTGGAAGGTGAAGGGATCAATGGTTTGCAGCTCACTTGCAGGTGAATTTGGAGTGGAAGGGGAGAAGGGCAGGAGAGCCATGCTTGGCAGGGCAGAGTGGAATGGGTTTTCTCTGAGGGGGCGCTGATTGTCCAGTGTTGGGAAGTGGGGAAAGAGAACGTGTATGTGGGGTGTAGGGCTAGGATGAACCAAGCTGGGGACAGAGGAGGCAGTGCTATGGGAGAGGCTCCTGAAAGAGAGAACTTCGGATCCGGTGGCTGGATGGATGGCAGAAAATGCAGTGCCTGCGCTGGCACTCGAGGATGCTGAGGAGCCGAGTTCAGCTTCTGTACCTGGGAAATAGCCACTACTCGGTCTCCTCAGGGACTCTCCTGTCTTTGGAACATCTGGCCCAGCACCAAGCGAATCCAGGGACTAAGGGACATACACTTCCTTTGTGTTCTTTCCACTTGCTTCTGATTCTAGAAAATCCCACAAATCATGTGATGAGCAAACAGTTCTTTTTCCTTTTTGCCAATAGGTGGATCTGGAGCGGACCTTCACATTTCGAAACTCCAAGCAGACCTACTCAGGGATTCCCATCATTGTGGCCAACATGGACACTGTGGGGACATTTGAGATGGCAGCGGTGATGTCACAGGTAGGGCGGTGGGCTTTTTCCCTCGGCTGTTCACCCTGGACCGCTTGACAGGAGCCCATCCTGGTCTTGTTCAGACACAGGGAAGATAAGAAAAGGGAGACACTTGGATCCTTGCCTGGGACTGAACTATTTAGTTCCGAGTCTGATTGTTGTTTGAGGCTCTTCTTCTCTTCCCTGCTTTTCAATTAGAAAAAATGGGTGTAGTCTGGACTTTGCAGTCGGTGAGATGGCTGAGAGCCACATTCATTGCTTCCCTGAAGATGCCCGTGATAGTTTTGGAAATTAGAGCTACAGAAAGAAGGTGGACGTTGAGCCACATTGTGAAGTTAGTTGAGTGCCATATTATGGAAGAGGGAGAGTGCCTTCAAATAAAGACACAACTGCTTCATATGCAGTCTGTACTATAGCATTTGTTACATCGCGTAGAAAACACTCATTGAGCACTTTACTTGCCAAACACTGGATATGATGACATAATGTTGTCACAGCTTCACCAGGTAGGTTCCTTTTACAGATGAGGAAACTGAGGCATAGAGGGAGAGGAGGGCTAATTTGGCCCGGGTGTTCAGCCAAGTAGAGACAAATTCAAGATTCAAACCCAGACCGACTCCAGAATAAGGGATTTGCCTGTCAATTTACACTGACAGATCACAGTGCAAGCGCAAGGTCCCCCTTTACCAGTTACCAGACTAATGTCCTGAAAATGGAGTAGCTGGTATCCTGGCCTTGGGAAAAGTAAAGGAAAAGCTTTCTGCGGGCAGGACCTGTGTCTCATGCAGCTGTGTCCCAGGTGCAAGGCACCCTGTTCATCCGAGATGCAGACATCCGCTTGTAATGTGCACGGGGTGTGCGCATCTATTTCCCCTGATAATCCTGCCAAGTGAAAAAAATCAATCCAATTAGTTGAAAGAGCTTCTGGCTGTGGGCAGCAAGTCTAACCTCAGGGGGTGCAGGGAGTCCTTATTAGCCAGTGATTAGCAGGAAGAGCTTCAAACAAATTATGAGCTCAAAACACGGCGTAGGAGGTGGTCTGTCTGACTCCACGATCTGTCAGTTGTATTATCTGTCAGCCCTCAGTCCCCACTGAGCTTTGGGCCAGAGGCTAATAAATTAATTGCTAAAGGAATTTGTATTTTTTTTTCCTCCCCATCTGTTCCTTGCTCTGCTCTGTGATCTGCCATTGCTACTAATGAATTATGTATTCGTGTAAAAGTGGGTGGAATCAGGGAGCAATAAATAGCCCTGGTTAATTCACATACCAGTTTATTACTCTGTGAAAAACATACACCTTCTTATGCTCTTCCCATTTTCACGGGAAAGACTCCCCATCAATGAGACAGAATACACTGAAATAGCTCCCCATGCGTGGGTACTATGCAGTTTCTATTTCTGGAATCCATTGAGTTAGTGTAAGTGGATGAAGTCATGGAGTTTTAGAATGGGAAACTGTGGATGGAGAAAAGCACCAGAGAAGTGATGAGAGAGGCCCTGGTGTAGGGGAAGGAGCTTGAGCTCTGCAGTCAGATTTGAGTTTGATTCTGCCTTTGCCCCTTCCTGGCCAAGCAATTGTGAAATTTCTTACATTTAAACTTCTTAAGCTCTTTTCTGCCCACAAAGCTAATATTAGTGTACAAAATTGTGAGAAGGAAGTGAAATACTGTATGCAAACTGCTTGCACAAGGCAGGTACTCAATAAATGCCAGGTTGATAGTCATAGATTTCCTGTTATAATTTATATAATTTCCTTCCTTAGGGATACCCACTGCCTGATGGGTTTAGCTTTTAGCAAGAAATGCTTAGGTTGTGACCACAAGGAAAAGCTTTCCGGTGTAAGCTGAGGTTCTCTCGGGTTGGCTAAGCAGAATTGGCCTTAAGGAGGCCCTTCTTATGGGCAGGGGACCTGCTCTTGGCCTAATGCAGGTGGTCAGCGGGCCAGGGCTCAGAATTCTCCCTCCTCCCTCCCCTGCCTCCTGTCAGAGCCTCTTAAATACTAATTGTGGTATTTTCTGATGAGATTAGAATGGAAAAATCCTTTTGTGATTTCACTGGCTTCTCCTTTGTCTGTTTTTGGCTCCTAGGAGCATATTCAAAGCTAATTAAACATGACTGGCAGGAACCTCCGATGCTTTTGTATGGTTGGCTCACCCCCGCCTCTCCGCCTTACGGAGGAAGGAGGTTCACTTGACTTTTCATCCTAACGGTGCTTTTTGTTTCCTAGCACTCCATGTTTACAGCAATTCACAAGCATTACACCCTGGACGACTGGAAGCTCTTTGCCACTGATCACCCAGAATGCCTGCAGGTATTTGTTGCAAAGGGTAGAAAATCTTTGGGGTTGTCCAAAGGATTTGAATCAGCGGCGGATAGACACACACACACACACACACACACCCCTGAGAGAGACCTGGGTAACCACAGTAGTGGTGCTCCAGCCCTTCGTTGTTGCCAGGGATTTGCCAAGGAAATCTGTTCTGTATCCTGTTTTGAAAGTATTAGGATTTACTTGCAAGGGGTATCTGTGTTTTTCCCTTGAAAGGTGAAGTGTTCTGGTATGAGGGCTTGGGGGAGACCTCTGCTTCCTGCCCAGGGTAGATCCAATCCAAACATTCCTTCTGGATGTAGGAAAACCTTCTAATTGTAGCAGGTTGTTTTGGTATTGAATAAACAGTATGCCTGCTAGGAGGGCTATAATTAAAAGACAGAGAGTAACTAGTGTTGGCATGGATGTGAAGAGATTGGAACCCTCCTGTATTGCTGGTGGGAATGTAAAATGGTGCCATTGCTTTGGAAAAAAGTTTGGCAGTTCCTCAAAAAGGTTACATTATAAGAGTTACCATATAACTCATCAATTCCAGTCTTAGTTATAGGCCTGAGAGAAATAAAAAAAAAAAATGTCCACACCAAAACGTATACAGAGATGTGCATAGCAGCATTGTTCATAATAGCCAAAAGGTAGAAGCAAGCCAGATATCCATCAACTAACTGATGAATGAAAACTGATATATCCACACAATGGAATGTTATTCAACTATAAAAAGTACTGACACATCTACAGCTGGATGAGCCTTGAAAACACTTTGCTAAGTGAAAAAACCAGATACAAAAGGCCACACATGTGATTGTTTACATGAACCATCAAGAATAGGCAAACCTCTGGAGACAGAAAGTAGATTAATGGTTGCTTGAGGGATGGAAGGGTTGGAGGGCGAGACCTAAAAGGAGTGAGAGTTTCCTTTTGGGGTGGTGAGAATGTTGTACCATTGATTATGATGGTGGTTGCACTGCTCTGAATGTACTAAAAACCACTGAAATGTGGGCTTTAAATGGATGAATTGGATGGTATGTGATTTTTATCTCAATAAAGCTGTTATTATTTTTTAAGGGCAATTTGAAAATAACAAAAAGCCCCACTCTGATGTGCCCGAGTTCCCTCCTGGCACATGGTTGGTTCGGAGCCAGGGCCAGCAGAGCACCGCCTTGGAGCCACTCTCCTCTGATCAGATTACCATGATTGCAAAAATGACTTCACAGTGGGGGGTGTTTGAGGTTACGCTGGCTTTTTTTTTTTTTTTTTTGCTATGTTTTCATTATGTGTGGATTTTGATTAGTGAGAAGGTGGTTTTGGAGATAAAATTATTCTGGCTCAATAGCAAATCCTTCCTTTTTGACATATTGTGTTCAGAAGAACTATACTTGTTTCACCTTCTCTCTCCCTCTTCTCTGTTGGAAGTCGGGAAGGCAATGACTTTGGGGCCATGTGTGGTTGATTGGAACCTTGGCTTTCATGAAGGAGTGAGGTCATTTTACCTATTACCCAGCCCCCACCAAACTAAAGGCTGATTTTTCTGAAAAGGGAAAAAGTTAAAAACAGCAGCACTGGGAGAGACGGAAATGGAGGGGAAAATAAAAAAGCTCTCGTGGGAGGGAAAAGATGTGTGGGTTGTGCCGCCTGGTCACACTGCCAACAGGAGTGAAAGAAGAGTAAACCCAGGAAATGAGTCAGCATGAATCCTGTTACAGTTCTCTTACAACCACTGGGCTGTAGCTACATTGTTGTGATTTTTTGGAGGGAATAACAAGGATATTAATATATGTCCCTCCTCTGTGGTTTATGGACTAGAGATAACAAATTAAAATATTCTTATAAAGGTGAGATGCCAACTCTGGGCACTGTCCCATGGCTTAGTTTCACTGAGGCATAAATTACTAAACACAGAGGTCTTTTCCCAAAGAGCATCTTTCCGAGGAGCCGGTGGTGGGTTGGAGGGTGCTGGTGCTGTGGAGGTTGGGGAGGGGGGTCACAGAGGGGGTGCGGTGGCTTCAGATGTAAACACATCCAAGTGCAGTTGGGGAATGATGCTTTCAGGCTCCTTTGTTCTTGGCCCTTTTAATAGGAACACTGAGATTTGCAGCTCTCTGGGTTACGATCTGCATGTTGTGTTAGTATTGTATTGGGAGTAGAAATGAGAATAGAAAAGGGTTTTAGACACCTTTCCCTCCCTCCTCCTGAGCCCCAGAGTGAGATGCTGGGGGTGATGGCCACAGCGTGGGCGTCAGGAGGCCCGAGTTGACCGGCCTCCCCATCATTCTTCCTGCCTCTCCTCTCCGCCAGGAGGAGGAGAATTCGCACCAATGGTTCCACAATTCAGAGTCCCACATAGAGAGCCAAGGACACGTGAACGAATGCCACGGACAAGGTTTCCTGGCTACATAAAACACTGCTGGCTAGAACCATTCGTGGCTGAGGGCCAGGGCCAAGGATACATGCAGTTTAATGGTGGGAAAGAGCAGGGGCAGAGTTTAGATGACGTGAGGAAGGGATTCCTTCACCTCTGCTGCTGCCGGGTTCTCCAGCAAGGCCACTCTGTGCAGGCTCGATCAGGGTAACTGACCTCCGAGGGCCACTGTACTGTCCCAGAACAGGTGAGTAGATGGAGGCAGGGTCTGGCTTCTGAAGACTTCTCACTGTCCGTGTCTCGCCCCTCTTGGTTTCTGTTCGGTACAGCACGTAGCCGTGAGCTCCGGCAGTGGGAAGCATGACCTGGAAAAGATGAGCAGCATCCTGGAAGCTGTGCCACAGGTTAAGTTTATTTGCCTGGATGTGGCCAATGGCTATTCGGAGCACTTTGTGGAATTCGTGAAACTCGTCCGTGCCAGATTTCCAGAGCATACCATTATGGTAGGTACGGTGGAACCTTCTGGAGCTGGGGAAGCAGGGAGGGGTGCCCGGTGCATCAGGGGAGCTAGATGCTCTGCAGAGCTTTCGGTGCCTTCTCATTGGAAGACTGATTGAAAACCACCGGGCACAATGGAAGCTGTGGAAGATCTGAAACCTGGCTCTCCTCTGTGAAAAGTGCAGTCCAGGCCAGCAGCGTAGGGTGTGGCTCCTTACCTCTGCTTAATATCGTCACATGTTTCTTACTCTGTGACACCTTTAAACAAAGGTCTGTGTCACCTTAACAAAGAACAATTTGTTTTTTTTTTTAAATTATAAGAACAAGTTTATTTAGAAAGTGACAAAGGTAGAAGTGAGCCAGCTGGGCTGCGTAGGCTCAGGAAACAAGTTACAGAGGCAGAAGAAGGGCGCCTAGGAGCTGAGAGAGAGAAAGGCAGAGGTCACCACGTTCCTGGGGGAAAGATGGGAGGGAAGGAAGGGAGAGCCAAAGAGCACATTCTTACGAATGAAAAACCCACTGTAACGGCTTCAGTGTAACCTGCTTCTGCCAGCCGCGCCCACCCCTCCTTACAGTAGCAGGCTCTCCGTGAGAGTTGAGTCCACAGTAGGAACATTTCAGTTAGCTGTAACTTGTAAATCATTTGGTGTGTTGTTTTACCTAGGATCTTTATTCTTGACCTTTCCTACCTTTTTTGTAATTTCCTAACCATCAGTACCTTCATTACTTAGAATATGTATTTGTTATTGCAGGGAAGTGTAGATTTTCAGGAAAAGGAACTAGAAACTCTAAAGTTAAATTTGGGCTTTTGGGAAATCTATATTGTAGTTACATGTGTCTTTACTGGTCTTAATTAACATGGCAATTATAGCTTGGCCACTAGATGAGCTACCTAAATCTCCTTTTTAAATCGTGTGTTCCTCACATTTGATCATTGTATTGAAGTTGGGAGACAGGAGTTATTTCTATTGGTGGAGTTAACTCTTCTGTTAAGAATTTCCAAGGATTTTTAAGATAAGTATTTTTATGTTTTCCAATCGCATGAGAAGAAAGGATCAAGAATTGTCCCAAAGTCAACCAGCTGTATGGAGTCACAAGCTGGGTGGGAAACAACAAGATTCATTTTACTTTCCGTAAAAGTGCTACCAATGTCGTTGCTTTTTTTTTTTTTTGATAAGAGTAATAGCATTTATTGAGTGCCTACTGTGTTCCAGAAGGTTTACATCTTTCCCCCCACTTCTTCATGTCTTTATAAAGAGTAAAAACTGTTGTCCCAAACTTACCACAGATGAGGAATTCTCACCCAAGGATATGTTTATTGAATTTTAGAGAGAGGAAGGGGGAAGAGAGAGAGAAATATCATGAACCCCAAACCTAGGTGTATACCCTGACCAGGAATCGAACCCACAGCCTTTTGGTGTAGGAAATGATGCTCCAACCAACTGAGCCACCTGGCCCATGCCAGATGAGGAATGTTAAGCTCTTATTTCATTTTTTTAAAATATATTTTTTATTGATTTCAGAGGGGAAGGAAGAGGGAGGGAGAGAAACATCAATGATGAGAGAAAATCATTGACTGGCTGCCTTCTGCACGCCCCCTACTGGGTATCGAGCCCACAACCCAAGCGTGTGCCCTTGACTGGAATAGAACCTGGGACCCTTCAATCCGCAGGCCGGCGCTCTACCCACTGAGCCAAACCAGCCAGGGCTTATTTCATTCTTATACTTTGGGATTTCCACAAGGTCACAGCAACATTAAGCAGCAAAGCTGGATTTGAAGCCAGGTTGTTCTGAATGCGACACCCATGGTCTACCCTTGAGGCTGCTTAATGTGCCCATCCTCGTTAACTTTAGTGATGAGGCTCCTTTCTTCCATTAGGGGCCCAGTGGTCGGCAAACTGTGGCTTGGCAAACTGCGGCTTGCGAGCCACATGCGGCTCTTTGGCCCCTTGAGTATGGCTCTTCTACAAAATACCGACTTCTGCGCATGGGCCACGAAGTTTTAATCGCACTGTACGTGTGCGCCCGTACGTGGTATTTTGTGGAAGAGCCACACTCAATGGGCCAAAGAGCCGCATGTGGCTCACGAGCCGCGGTTTGCCAACCACAGCACTAGGCCATGTGCTTGTGACCAATTTCCTGCTCCCCATTCTAACGAGGTTGACCTTGTATGTTTGCACTGGAGGGTGACCCTGTATCATGACCCAAGGATAGGAGGTCAGGGGCCTCAACTGGCTCTTTTACCCCCAACCATCTGGGGTAACTGTTTCTTAGGAAGAGAAACTGGAAAGCTGGACTCCAGGGAGGGCAGACGCCCTGCCCCAGCCAGACCTGGGAGCCCTCATCAGCATTTCATATTAAACAAAAGTTCTGTGAAACAACAGCGGGGTGGTAGAAAGAGCATGGCACATATTTGTTGACTAGGAGAGGAGTCTTTTGTTTTTTCTTCTGGAGAATGAGGAATAAGGCAGGCCCAGGTGGCTGCTGACATTCTTATCTGAGGTGGTGGATCTGATCTGTCCTGAGATTTCCATTTCACCTCTAGTGTTTTTGTTGCTTTTTCATCCTCACCTGAGTAGGGGTGTGTATGTATATATATTTGTTTATTTAAAGAGAAGGGAAGAGAGAGAGAGAGAGAGAGAGAGAGAGAGAGAGAGAGAACCGATGTAAGCAAGAAACATCGATTGGTTGCCTCCTGAATTGCCCCAACTAGGGATCAAACCTAGGTATGTGTCCTGACCAGAAATCGAACCCACGCCTTTTGGATATATGGGACAACCAGGCCAGGGCCCTGTAGGGTTTTAATGACCCTGCAGATACAAGGGACTAAGAAACTTGGGAAGTTATGCTTTATGTCGCCTGGGTTTGGGTATAAGTGTTAGCTATGAATGTTTAGGAATCAGAAATTTCATCGATTTAATGAGTCAACCTATTGGCTTCACTTCTTTTTTTTAGTAATTCTTGTATTAAATAGTGAGCTATGACCTACATACGGAAAAGTGTATAACATATGGAGGTTTCATAGTCATAAAGTAGCAGTCCTTCAGTTGTTTCCCTTAGTATAATACCCTCTAGGTTCATCCATAACGCTAAAATTCATATGGCCCTACAAAAGACCACAAATGATCATACCTTGAGACAGAAGAACAAAAGTGGAGGTGTCATACTCTCCAGGTCTCTGGGTTTCAGAAAACTAAGTACACCTTTTTAATATGAATCAAGCAGGCTAATGATCAGTAGCAGCTATCTGCAAACTGGCAGGTGAGGTGATAGTGGTATAATTAAAATGTATAATTAAAATTCATTGTTGAATGGTGTTTGTTTATTCAATGTTATAAATAGCCACCCCAAAAATCCAAGAGGGAAAAAATACACTTCAAGTGCAAAAGGTCTATAGCATTGAAGGAAAAAAAATCACCTTTTTTCTTCCTTTCCCTTTTATAAACTTTATAATTTAAAAAGTAATGAGGTTTGAAAGAAAGGGAATATGGCTATTGGTACATGTATATAAAAAATAACAATTGGTGTACTCAGAGGGCCAGCTGATGTCCTACAAATTCATTACCAGAAAATTCCTTGAATGTACATATCTGTGCATGTACTCCTCATAGCAATGATCTACAATTCCATGTCTGCACTTTTAGTACAGTCAGTACATTTGCTGATGCAAAATAGTCACTTCTGTCAGCAATGCCAAATACAGTGTTATTTAAAAAGTACTGCCCTGGCAGGAGTGGGTCAGTGGGTAGAGCATTGGCCTGTAGACTGAAGAGTCCTGAGTTCGATTCGGCCAAGGGCACATGCCTGGGTTGCGGGCTCCCTAGTGGGGGCCGTGCAGGAGGCAGCCGATCAATGATTCTCTTTCATGATTGATGTTTCTATCTTTCTCGCCCTCACCCTTCCTCTCTGAAATCAATAAAAAGATTTAAAAAATAAAAGTACCTATCAAAAATGTGTGGACAGTACAAGAATGAACTAAGATGCTCGAGAACGGAAACCAACACCAGTTCTCTCACTGACCACACTGATGTGTTTCAGGGCCTGTTTGTAAAAAGCACTATGACTAGAGTTAGGATCAGTGTACAGATCTGTTTGTTCATAAAACATTAATTGCATAAATGTTAAGGACCAGTAGCCAATAACAAAGGTCTAATAATTCCTTACCTATAGGTATTCTAGCCAGTTTTCCAAATGCAACTGATTTTCCTTAAGAAAAATAAGTCAATTGATTCATGTATTTCATACTGCATTCTTTTAAATGAAAATAAACAACTTAGTTAGCTGCTTATTTTAGCACCGAGATGAGTATCATGCAGTTTTGTAAAATGTAATTATTTAAATTGTGAATGGGTTGGAATCAGTCTTTTTTTTATTTTTTTAATTAAATCTTTATTGTTCAGATTATTACATTTGTTCCTCTTTTTCCCCCCATAACTCCCCTCCTCCCAGTTCCCGCCCCACCCTCCGCCCTCACTCCCCGCCCACTGTCCTCATCCATAGGTGCACGATTTTT